ATGATGACAGAAAGAGGTTTTGGTTTTACAGTTTTATTGGTTAATATATTGGGTCATCAGAAAAGTCATGACATATTTTTTTCTATGCCAAAAAATGGATCATGACTTTTCCGACAACCTAATAGTTAATACTTGGGTGGACTAATACTTAATGATATGGTATAAAGAAACTCAGTAAAATACTGTTATATAGCAGGTTACCCAAGTAAAAGAAATATATCAATCTTCCCATGATTTCTTACTGCTTAAAATAAAATGAACTTTATTTTTAAATTTGTCATTTAAAAATACTTTTGGAGAAAAATACTTTGACCTTATATCAGTGAAGCAAATTTACTTCACAAGTACAATTTATCTAACATTCTCAGGGCCTCGAAAATTGGTACACTATATCTGTTTGTATTTTTTTCACTTGTCAGTTTGGAATATGTGGGTGTTAGTGTGTGTGTGTGTATGTTTTAAACCGTCCTTTTGGGAAAATTGATGCCCATTTTGAACATAAAGATACAATAGGTTGAAGACAGAAATGATAATTCAGTTATGAAAAGTGTTAATTCACATATGCTAGAATCTCTGAGCGATATTGATACCTTAAGCTAGAAAATATTTCTTCCATTTATTTCATGCTAAAATCAAAGTTGAATTTTAGAAGCCAAACCAATTTAGCAGATAGATATAGGGAAGCAAACCAAAACATTGGAGTTGGTGGCTCTTATATGCAATGGTACAGTATTTATTTATTTAGGTTTTAAACGATGTCACTGTAAGCAGTTAGTTCCTGGCCTCTGGCTAGGAGAGTAACAGTAGCAGGAAGCAGCACATTGGTATCCTTTCTGTTCTTTACTTCATCTGAGTCCAGGATTTTTGTGACTCTTTATTTCCTTATTTTGTTGGTTTTAGTGTGGTGAAAAATTAGATATAGCTAGTTTTTCTTTGTGTGTGTGTATATAGCTGGAACATAAAGCTAACCTGGTTTGCTTTTACTAATTGGTTCAATTTTGATAGCTAAGGATAAGATTGAAAGCATCTACAAGCATATACCTGTTTTCTTTTTGCACTTGACAGACTTTTTTTTTTCTTTTAAAAATAAAGTTTCTATAACTATTCTGTGATAGCTATATATGAGGTAACCATGTTTTATTTGGTCCTATGGACAAATACCTTCTCAAGTACCTTCTTCACATAAATTAAAAATAGTAGCAAATATTTTAAATAATCGTGAGTTATAGTCAAAATAAGTATAGAAGAACTGATAAATTCTTTATGAATTGCTTGACAGAGAACAGCATTTGATTATATGTCAGTTACAGGTGTATCTTTAGAAAGACCTGAGAACATCAATGAAGCATGTAAGTAAGATCAAATGAACTGCATATTTAGAAGATTTATCACCCTTTAAACATACCTGATTGGAAATATTTCAATTAATATTTAAGTTTTTCAAAAAGTTTAATGTCTTAATATTTTCTCATTCTATTGAAGCCTTTTGAATCCTTCAAAGATTAAGATAAAAATGATTATTAGAAGATTTATCTGCAAGCATTATAGGGAAGTATAAAAAAAAATCAGAATGGAAAGCAACTGTTGCAAGTACCAGAAAATTATGCTATTAATTTAAGTGTCATCAGAGCACAAAAGATCACATTCCAGGACAGTGTGGAAATTATTAAAATACTGGAAATAATAGTACTTAAGATGAAGATATTATGCTCTCTAAGATCTGGTTAAGTGACTGACATTATTACTTCACTTCAGGTATTATAAAAGTAACAAAATGCTTTTAAAGATAATAAGCGTTACATTTTGAGATTGGCAGTATTCACACTTTTCTGCTTAAGTGCTTTCCTAGTTTAACATAATTTAATAACAGTTATGGGAGAATAGCTACCATCTGACTTCCCGTATATATTTTCCTTCTTTCTTCAATATATATACATTTTATACATTTATTTTTACATATAAAGTGGTAAAATTTTGTTCTCTAAAAATGGTGCTCTATGAACTGTTATCTTCTTTGTCCTTGTTAGAAGAAATATTGCTATTGTATGTACTTTATAAAGTTACTAATCCTTGAGAAAACTATTATGAAGCAGCTAATTATATGTAGGTCCATTACTATCCAAAAATTAGAATTAGTGTTGTTATTTTCTGTTTTTGTTTTTTTAAACATCCCTATTGAGGTATAATTGACTAAGCTGAACATGCTTAAAGTGTACAGTTTGTTTAGTTTTGACATATTTATACCCATGAAATCATTTCCACAGTCAAGATACTAAAGATTTCCATCACACCAAACTCACTTCCACCCCCATTGTAGTCTATCCCTTCTGTCTCCACTGTTGTCCCCCTGGTTCCCAAGAAATTGAGCCTGCTTTTTTTTTTTTTTTTCCCCTCCCCTTTCCTCAAAGTAGACTTCTTTTTTTTAATATGCTAGAGGACACCTGCATTCACTGGAGAGCCAGAGAGGGAAAGTGAGAAAGCATGGGGGATGGTCATAGTGCTATCCTTTCTCCATTTTTCCGTTCGGGATTTGAGGCATGCACACACACATTTGACCCATTTCTCATGCCGCTGGGTCTGGGACTTGAATTAGGACTTGTGCGGTTGGCCCTGTGGGATCAAGTTGCTTCAACCACTGCACTGCTGGCTGCCCCTGTGACCTGCTTTCATTACAGATTTGTTTCTTGATTCCTTCTTTACTTTCTTTGCAACACTTTTTAATCAGTCACATTGCTTCAGTCTGCTTCATGGCGGTTTATCTTGACAAAACCCCTCATCTCAGCCCTTCCACCTTAGTTGTTTCTTTTTGCCCCAAGGGTGCTTTTATGCTAAGATCAAGGATGCTTCTGAGAGTTACTATGTGCAAGTATTTGTGTAAAGCTGGAAATAGGAGAGAATTAATCCCCCTAGGGCAACTCAACTAGTTGGAATGGAGGCCAGTAAACATATGCTTCTGGATTCCATTTCTTGGACAGAAGTTCTGAGGCATTTTCACTGTAGCTTCTCACAGAGCCATCATTGACGATAGTGACCTGCTTGAAAGCACACCCTTGTTTTGACTTTCCCTTCTGTTTTTCACTCCAGTCTCCACTCTCATTTCCTACAGTCACTTCTGATAAACTATCCCTGCATAAGCCCTTGTCTCAGGCTTTGCTTTCTGGATGGAATCTCAGTCTCATATCAATCGCCATTGTCATATGCTGGAGATCAAGATGATATAGGACTAGGGTCCAAATATACTTTTGTATTGACTTGGTTTTCAGGATCAAACAAAAGCTCGACAAGTATACCAGAACTTCCTAAACAGAATCACTTGGCAGGCCCTTAAAGTCAATTTATATATTAGTGGCTGCACTAGGCTTCTCTCAAATGATTTCCTTGCCCCAGAAAATTGTAATCTTCTCAGTTGCTGTCTGCTTCCTTTGACTTGTACCACCATTTGAAAAATTTTGACTTCTTCATAACAGTGGGCTGTAGGTGCTAACTTCTTAGCTGCACGTGTACTTAGTTTGTTTGAAGTGCAAGGAAATTATTTCTCAACATTTCAGTAATAGGTACTAATGTGTTTTTAAAAAGTTTAGACCTGAGCATTCAAATAATCCATCAGTAGATAATGCTACTGTAGAAATCAGACTACTGATTTCTTTCATAGAACCATAAGAAAGTCTTTATCTCCCTCCCTATTCATTGGCTTATCTTTCAAAATCAGTCTTTAGAAATTGTGTCACCTTATAAAGTCTTAGAATAATGACATATTTAGTTTTCTAATGGCTTGCTTATTTTATTTATTAAATATGAAAAAGAATAACCAACCTGTCCTTGTTCTGCTCAGATATTGGGATATTTGATTCATGTAAAACTTCCAGCATAAAAATTGGCAAACACTACCAAAACAGATTTGATTTTCCTTTAGTATTCTAAAATTATTCAGGACATAAAATAAATCTTTTTAGTTTTTTTCTAAAGGTTATGACTTAGTGCCCTTTAGCAGACTAACTTTATGGTTCACGGTCTCAAGGTTTAAATACCAAAGATATCATCTGAATGGATTGTTTGTTCAGAAATCTTTTCAGTTGTGTATGTTCAGAAACTTCACTGAGTAAGCACAGGGCTATCAAATAAGAGATTTTTCACAGAGCGTGGGGTTAGGACCTTGGGTAACATGGTTCGAGCTCCAGACCAGCAGCTTGAAAAACACACCAACCACCTGTGTCCAAAATCCCAAGAGGAAAGTGGTGAAAAGGAATCGCTATGTGCCATCCTCCCCTCTCCATGGGGGGGTGATTTCTCACTTTCCCTCTCTGTCTCTGTCTCACACCCTGGTGAGCACAGGTACTGTATGTGGTGGGGGGACTTTTAAAAATAAAAGAGAAAGAATGCCATATATGGATACAGTCAAGTCTTATTTGAATCTAATAGTTGATCTCTTAATATCTTTATGCTTGCTCCTTTCAAATCATGTGGAGATGTCCATTTTTATCATAAGATTAATACTTACAAAAATTAGGGGGGGAGACCAGTAGGTGGAGTAATGGTTCTGTCACTGGACTCCCATGTAGTCAAGTCCCAGGTCCAGCAGCTTAAAACTGCTGGGTGCAAGTACATGCATGCCCAAAATCCCAAGAAGAGAATGAAGAAGGGATTTTGGCATTACCATCTCCCCTAGGGGCTGATTTCTCTCTCTCTGGTGAGTGCCCAAACCCTATGGCAAAAATCTCTTTTAGAAAAATTTTTTTTTCTCTTTTTTTTTTTTATTTTTTGGAGAGGTTTTCGCCATAGGGCACGTGCACTCACCAGACAGACAGAGAGACAGAAAGCGAGAAATCACCCCCCAGGGGGGATGGTCACACCGCAATCCCTTCTCCTCTATTCTCCTCTTGGGATCTTGGGCACGCACGAACAGGCGCCCGGTGTGAGTTTTAAGCCACCAGGTCTGGGACGCGAACTGCGGTCAACTACAGGGGAGTCCAGCGACATAGCCATTACGCTAACTGCTGGTTCCCAATTTTTTTTTTTTTTTCTCTTGACCTTTGCTTTTTACCATAGGAAGATTGGACTCCCTATCAGAATAGCTCTCTATTCAACACAACTTTGTGTTCTTTGTGCCTTTAATGTTACAATTTCTCTTGTTTATACTTTTTTTCTGCTACAGCCCTACCCTATATTTTAAAAAATCATTTTGGTTGAATGTCTTCAACATGGATCTTTTCTGTAAACCCTTTGGAGAAGATGAAGTAAAATGCATATGACTGTCATTTCTAAAATGCACATGACTTTCTTCTCAGCCTTTTCTGTTTTCTAACTTTGTCAGATGTTTCTCTCATGTTTTTTGGAGGGGTAGGTTATTTAATGACAGGAGGTTGCTTAGCTCTTTTCCTTGTAGCACAGCAAGACTTAGTTGAGAGGCTTCTACATGATTATCTTGATTTCTAGGATAGTTTTGTTCTCTGTAAGAAAGCTTATTGGGTTGCAGAGGAAGTCAGTTCCTACATGGCTAACTAGAAATAGAGTCCTGGCCTATGGATTGAAAAATATGCCCAATATCTTAATCAGATGAATTAGAGGAAAAAGGATTGCAGGCATGACTAGGCTCTCTTGGGAGGTAGTTTTACTTTCCTTCTCCCTCCTTCCCTCCCTGCCTCCCCCTTCCCCTCTGCTCAACACACATGTCCTCTAGCATTTAAAAAAATAGTAATAATGGCAGCAGACACCAGGACTCCAGGATGGCATCAGTCGTACCAGTAAGGGAAAAGAAACTTATGGATGTCAAACTCGGGGAGCTGCCAAGCTGGATATTGATGCGGGATTTTACCCCTAAAGGCATTGCTGGAGCATTTCAGAGAGGTTACTACCGGTATTACAACAAGTACGTCAATGTGAAGAAAGGGGGTGTTGCTGGAGTTTCTGTAGTGCTGGCCGCTTATGTGCTTTTCAGCTACTGCCTTTCCTATAAGGAACTCAAACACGAGCAGCGACGTAAATACCACTGAAGAGGGCCAGCATGGAGGCCATACACTGAGCCAGACCTTCATCTCCTTGGTTTGGCACCCCTCCAAAGGATCTTGTTGAGTACTTTCATATCCCAGTCGAGAATTCACATCCAATAAAAGATGACTGATATGTGTAAAAAAAAAAAATAGTAATAATAATTTATTACTTTCGGGAGCACTCAGTCTTGTATGTGTATGTTTTACTTTTTCCCCCCTTTAATTTTCATTCCTTCTCTGATCTTTTCAGAAATTGTTATAGGGCATATATGAGAGAAAGAGAAAGTAAGAGAGAAAGAGAGCGGGAGCGAGCGAGTGAGCAACCCCAATGGTTTGTGGTCATACTGCAGTCCTGTTTTCTCAATTTCTAAACCCTCGAGTTAGGAATTTGGTCGTGGCATATTTTTTAAGCTACAGGGATGGGACTTGAATCCACCATGTGGGATTCAGGTTTCTTTTTTTCTTTCTCTTTATTTATTTATTTATTTACTTTTTTTGAGAGGTTTTTTGCTATAGGGCACATGCGCTTGCCAGAAAGACAGAGGGAGACAGAAAGCAAGAAATCACCCCTGGGAGTATGGCCACACCACAATCCCTTCTCCACTCTTCTCCTGGGATCTTGGGCACACACCCACACACACACACACACACACACACACACATCTGGTGTGAGTTTAAGCCACTGGGTCTGGGACTCGAACCATGGTCGACTACATAGGAGTCCAGCAACATAGCCACTACACCAATTGCTGGTCCCTTTTTTGTTAACTTTTTTTTTTTAATTTAAGGTTTTTGCCAGTGGGCACATGTGTTCATGGGAGGAGGAGTGAATTGCAAGGGAGGCTGGAAAATAGCCATGTTACAATTCCTTCCTTTCTTGGGATTTTGGGTACAAATGCACACGCACTCAACTGATTTTTAAACTGTGACGTCTGCCTACCAAACTGTGGTTGACCATGTAGTAATCTAGTACCTTAACCACCATGCTGCCTGTGTACCCTGCAATCCAGTTTTCTTAATCACTGTGCTGTTGTTGGCTCTCTCCAGCATTTTCTATATTGTGTAATTTTTCTATTGCATTTCTTTTTCCTTTTCAAGAGAGATTTTTGCTATAGGGTATGTGTGCTCGACAGAGACAGGAAGTGAGAAATCACCCCCTGGGGGGATGGCCACACTGCAATTCCTTCTCCTCCATTCTTCTCTTGGGATTTTGGAGGTGCATGCACACACGACTGGCGTGAGTTTTAAGCTGCTGGGTCTGGAGCTTGAACCACAGTTGACTACGTGGTAGTCCAGCGATGTAACCATTATGCCAACTGCTGGTTGCCTATTTCATTTCTTTTAATCATGCTATTATTATAGGTATGTTAAAAAAATGGCATTTTCCTTTGGCTAATGAATTCAATAGTTTCAGTGTTTTGGTTGTAATTCTTGAATCTTTACCATATTTAAGTTGTATAATTGCTTTGCTATTTCTGCTGGAATGTATAGTTCTAAACTCATTCCAAAATCTCAAAATTTTTGGAAGATTGCAGTTTCTCTTTTGTGTTTTAGATAAAATAGTAGTTGTGTAATACATTTTTTACTTCTTTAAATACATTGTGATATAAAATATTATGTAATCTGAATACGTTGATTCTCATGAACGTTGATATGAAAGTTCTCTTGATTAAAAAAACTATTATACATTAAATCATATAAATATATATTACATCAAATGGATATATACTTCCATATATAATTTGGTAAGGCATGTTTATAAACAAGAATTGAAAATAGGAATTTTAAGTGGAAAGCATTACCTGGTTACAGATTTTCAAACGGTTACATTTAGAATTTTGACTTTTAAGGTGACTGGAAGTCATTTTAAAGTTACTACTGTACTTGTATATTTATAAATGCGATGTTAAAACTTAGAGGGGTGATTATGTCTTGGTTAAGGCTGTAAACATCTCTAGGTCGAGGACAATACAGTGTCTCACAATAAGAGTCACAAATTTGTAAACTCTTACCATGCTAAACAACTGAAATATTTCACTAAAATTTTATGAATATTAACACCTTTTCTATAATATAGAAGCTGAATAAGATTAACTTGTTGAGAAAAATGCAACTAAGTGGTGGAACTGGCAGTAATGGCGCTAGAGATTTGACTAAAATGTGTTCTTTTTTTTTTAAAGGAATTATTTATATTTATTTATTTATTTATTTATTTATTTTACTTTGACCAGAGAGGGACAGAGAGAGAGCAAGTGAAAGTCAGAAAGCAAGTCTCCAGGTCTGGAACTCAAACCATGGTCGGCCATGTGGGAGAGTCCAGCACCCTAAACCACCATGCCACCTGCTGGCCCTACAATGTGTTCTTAACCAACATACTGTACCACACCCTGTATTTTCTTAATGTTATCACTACCTAAAATGATAAACTTATACATAGCATTCCCATTTGCTGGATTTAATTGTAGTAGGACATAATTTACTCATGTATTTTTTATTTAGTTTTATATAACTTTAAATGAGGGTTTGCATTCTTAAGTGCTTTATCTGGATAGTTTATTGAATATGGTCACAAATGGACTATTTTAAGTTGAAGATAAAACTTCCTGCCTATAGGTTCTAATTTTATAAAATGGATTTCACTTTTGCAAATTCATTATATACCCCCTCCCAGAAACAAATTTATTACAAAGATAGATACTATTTTAAACTAAATTAACAGTGAAAAAATAATTGAAATAAAGGGGTGATGAGAATGTCCTTAAGGACGCCTTTCTTCCTCTTCACAAGCTGAAAAGCCTGGATCTTGTAGAAGTATGACCAGTAACGTCGGGACAGTAAACAAGCCAGGCTGCTCATCATTGTTCTACCAGTGGTTCTCAGCTTGCCTTCACATTAGAATCAGTTGGCAGGCTTTTTAAGTCCCAATACCAAAAGCTGCTTTGTACCAAGATCAGTTGAAACGATGCAGCTGGGGGAACCAGCAGTTAGCGTAATGGCTATGTCGCTGGACTCCCACGTAGTCGACCGCGGTTTGTGTCCCGGACCTGGTGGCTTAAAACTCACGCCGGGCGCGTGTGCGGGCGTGCCCAAGATCCCGAGAGGAGCATGGAGGAAAAGGGATTGCGGCGTGACCATCCCCCCTGGGGGGTGATTTCTCGCTTTCTGTCTCTATGTCTCTGTCTGTCTGGCGAGCGCACACGCCCTACAGTGAAAATCTCTCAAAAAAAAAAAAAATAGAAAAGATGCAGCTGGGAGAAGAATCCATATATTAGTTATTAGCGTTTAAGTTCCTTAGGTGATTCCAATATGATTTGTATTGAAAATAAATTTCAGATAGTAATATTTCTGTGGTTTGTTATCCATATTCACAGTTGAAGGAAATGGTAACTCTTACTTAGAAGTTAGAGAATATATATATTTTTTGAAACCTGTCTTAGATTTTCTGGTTTAAGAATGTGTCAGATGTTGCAACTTGCTTTATATAGTGTGTTTTTTTCCTAGGAAGACATATTCATGTGTTGGTTTGAAGAAAGTTTTACATGTATTATTTACACACACACACACACACACATATAAAGATTTATATTAAAGAGTAGATAATCAAAAGAGAAACAGTTCAAAACTTAATCTAGAAAAAGCAACTTTGATTAACTTTTTCAATTATAAAAAATAGCACAAAATCTGTATGATTTACTTAATTTTGTTTTTTTTGGGGGGATGGCTTTTGCTATGGGGTGCGTGCGCTCACCAGAGAGAGGCAGAGAGACAGAAAACGAGAAATCACCCCCCAAAGGGGATGGCCACGCTGCAATCCCTTCTCCTTCTGTTCTCCTCTTGGGATCTTGGGCATGCATGCACACGTGCCCGGTGTGAGTTTCAAGCCACTGGGTCTGGGACACTAACCGCAGTTGACTACATGGGAGTCCAGTGACATAGCCATTATGCTAACTGCTGGTCCCAATATATTTGAGATTAATTTCTCCCCTTTTAGTATTTTACTATAAATTTTCAAACATGCAGAAACATTGGAAAAGTTTACGGTGAATACCCTTGTATCTGCACCTCAATTCCATAGTTAACATTTACTGTACTTGTTTTATCACATCTTTCCCTTTATTTGTTCCTCTTTTCTTCCATGGATTTGATTTTTAGTGATTTCCAAAGTAATTTGCATATTTAACTAGTGTTCATTTCTTTGTAAAATTTGAAAACAGTAAAATGCATAAATACAAAGGATATTGTCATTCCATTAAATGGCTACACTTGTGCAATTTGTACTTAAGGTGAACATTACTTTGACCCAGGGGCCTGTCCCTTCCCAGAAAATCCCCATTGTTGGGATTCCCCCCCACACACATCCCCCTCCCCCCGTGACTTAATTGTGCCTGTTCCAGACTCATGTAAATAGATGTACTGGTCTTGGAGGTAGGTTTATTTATCCAGCATGTTTTTTGACATTTATCTATGTTAAGACATCAGTAAAAGTAGTTCATTTCTTGTTATTCCTGAGTAGTATTCCCTTATTCCCTTACCTGAATATGCTGGGGTTTATTTATCCTCCCACCTATTGATGAATATGTGGACTGCTACCAGTTTTTGCTATTATGAATGTAGCTGGTAAGAGCATTCTTGTGTAAGTCTTTTTTACAGATATATCTCTTTACTTAGTGTAGAATTGCTAGGTCATAAAGTAGGAAAATAAGTCGTTTTCAAAGAAGCTGTGCTATTTTACATTCCTGTTGAAAGTATATGAGATTGCTTTCTCTACAATATTTTTATTTAAAAAAAATTTATTTATTCATTTATTTACTTTAATTTTTTACCAGAGACAGACACACACGCAGAGAGAGGGAGGAAGGGAAAGTGAGAAAGCAAACCACCAGGTCCAGGACTTGAACCGTGGTAGGCCACTTGGGAGTGTCCAGCACCTTAACCACCACACCACCTACTGATCCCCAATATTTCTATTTTAATGTTATCTGTTAATATTTGTGTTAACTTCTTGTTAATTTTCTTAATGTTATTATCTTATACATATTAACCATTATTCTAAAATTTTTCTTTGATTTATTTTTAATTTTATTTTGCACATTACACATTATTCAGAAAGGAAACTTGAAACAATAGCACAGTAGTTTTTGCTGAGATATGAGATTGGTTATCTCATAAAATGAAAAGTTCTCTGTCTTGATTTTTTTTTTTTTTTTCGATAATGAGTCATTAATATTGTCTAGTCTGGCCTCAAATACACGATCTTCCTGCCTCTGTCTCCTAAGTAGCTGGGATTTATGGGTGCACACCACTGCCACCTGCCTTCTAATTTTTGAAATTTTTTTGAGAAGTCACCTAGCAGAATACTTAAGACTTTGATTTTAACTTTGGTCATATCCTTCAGTATTTATGGTGCTAATATAGAATTTATGGTGATCTACAAAGACTACTTAATTGCTTGTTACTGCTTAGAAGTAATTTTTTAAAACAGGAAAATAAATTCGAAATAAGAACTTGCTTTTGTGTAGAGTTTAACAGTTGACTCCAGCTCAGTGAAACTGAGCTGGGAGTAAACTCTGACTGAAGTCATATACACTGGGGATGGTACAGAAATACTAGTTATGTGTTTAAGGAAGGGGCTCCCGTGTTTTCATCTTACCAAGGTGTATCAGATTTTTGCATTGTTGGTTTGTGTCACTTATTGTGGATTAATATATTTGTGGTATTTTCAGTGATTTTATGTTTTTTTTAAATTAGAAACAATAAAACCCTATTTTAAAAAATGAATTTTGATTGCTTTTTCTACCAAAAGTATTTAGTAAATAGCTGAATCTTCTAAATATATCACATTAATTTTTGAGAAACTCCTGTGCTTAAAGTAAAACTACAAATTGATTTTTTTAAATAATGGCTTTATTTATTAGTGAAAATATATTTAAGCTAAGTCCCATAAAGTATTAATGTCTGAATTCAGAGACTGGCTGAAAGGTCAGTGTGGAAAAAAAATCATAATTTGTTTGAATTTTCTTTTGTGTGGGTGAGTGAATACTTTGTGTTTGAATTCTTACAAAGATACATAAAACCTTTTCATAGTCTTTGCCTAATTATGTCTGCGAAATTATTTATTAATGCTACTTAAAGGCAATTTAATCAAATTTTAAACAACTCTGTTTAACTAGACAACTGCTGTGAAAATAAAGATTACTTTCATACTACAATTGTATAGACACTAGGACTAATATAAATTACAGGACTTAAGAAAGTTCAGAATATATATCATCTTTTTTCTTTTTTTTTCCCAAGAGGTTTTTGCTATAGGGTGCGCTTGCCAGAAAGAGAGAGAGCGAGCGAGAAATCACCCCCCCTCCCCCGAGGGGTTGGCTACGCTGCAATCCTTTCTCCATTCTCCTCTTGGGATCTTGGACACACACGCACATGCGCCCGGTGTGAGTTTAAGCCACCGGGTCTGGGACTCGAACCGCGGTTGACTACATGGGAGTCCAGAGACATAGCCATTACACTAACTGCTGGTCCCTGCATATATATCATCTTGAATTAGTAATTACATGTTGTGTAACATGTAACAAGGAAGGCATTTTTCCTGGATAGGATGTACAGGCTCGTGACATCAAGATGGAATACTGTTAGTGCTAAAGGAGGTAAGGAGACGAGAAGCAGGGACAGATGATTCTTGTTTATTGGCGTCTACTTTCTATCTGAAATGAAGCAGAGCTTAAAATGTCTAAATTTAGTATATTTTAAGTGAAAATTATCTGCTATTGCTAGAGTGCCATATAACTTAACTTTCATCTTTTCAGAGCTCCTTAACAAGCATTCACAGTCAGTTTTTGGCAGCATTAGAATCACTGAAGACCTTCTGGGACATTATGGATGAAATTGATGAGAAGACCTGGGTGCTTGAGCCAGAAAAACCAACACGGAGTGCGACAGCTCGCAGAATTGCATTAGGTAGGAAAAAAGATTAGCTTTTTTTTCCCCCTTAAGGTGTTTTTCATTTTATATTACTTAGGAAATTGAATCTAAAGATGACAGTTGAACTCTTAGATGAGACTTATTTTTATGAAGTCAGCTATTAAAACTTTGGGATGAACTATTTCTTCTGTTACTTCATATTTAAATGTAAATATTTTAGTTGAAAAAGGCAAGTACTGAGGTGTTTCATTATAAAAGGTGATGATTCAATGGAAGTAATATTCCAAGACAGTGTTTAATTAGCTTTTAATTAGCACAGAATTTGTGGAACAGGTTATTAAAACTATTGTTACTTAGAAAGAAAAAAAAAAAACCTGTTAGAAATAATGAAGTCTTTATTTGTGAAACTTAGATTGGTGTGACCAGATTTGGGAATAGTTTTTGACAAAAATACAGAGGGGAATAAAAGAACTTAATGTGACCTCACCATTAAAAGTAAATAGAAAGCCTAAAGTAAGTGAATATATTTTATATATTTTCTTTATAATTTTAAGACGATATGGTATAACCATAAATATCATGTTACAATATCATCAGATTCTCTTGACTATAAAATAATTATGTATTTTCATTATGAGCAAGTAAAGCATAAAGTCAATTTTAGAATTTAGCCTTTCCTCAGATTTTAGATATCTTAGAATACAAGGGGTCTTCAAAAAGGTCATGGAAAATATGGATTATAAAAAACCTATGTACGTATTTCAATTTTTTTTGCACCAAAATAAACATACTTTTATTCTATTTCTTCACAAACTTTTTAAGTCCTCTTGTATTTGAGTTTACATTAAATACAATAGCTGGTTGTAAGATACCCATTCATCTCTTCCTTTCTTTTTTACCTCATCTAAATAGACATGTTATTTAAGGGGATATTTCTGAAGGATATTTTGAAATTTTGATGTGAATCAAGTCCAAATCAGTGCACAATTTAAATACTTTATACCCAGATATAATACAGGTATTGGGTCAGAGGAATGTGGTATGTTGTTATAAGAAAGTATAATTGTGTAGCAGTTACACAGATGGTATAATAACTAATCCAGTTTGAAAAAATCTAACAGTATAATAACTGAGTTACAGCATTTTTTTAAGAGGTTTTTGCCTTAGGACATGTACACTTCCTAGAGACAGTGAGGCAGAGACAGTGAGAGACATGTACACTTTCAGGAGAGAGAGGGGGACAAAGATGGTGAGAGGGAAAGCAAGAAATCATCCCTGATGGGGGATGGCCATGCTGCCATCTCTCTTACTTCATTCTCCTCCCAGGATCTTGGGCATGCACGCACATGTGCCCAGCGTGAATTTCAAGCCACCAGGTCTGAGGCTAGACCACAATTGGCTATGTGGGAGTCAAGTGACATAACCACTATGCCATATGTGAGCCCCCAATAGTAGCATATTTTTGAACAAGTAGATATTAAAAATAAAAATATTTTCTTCAAAGAAATTAATTTATTATCTTTCTGGCCCCATTAAAATAATTATTCTCATCACGTTAGTGATTAAATATACTTCTTTTAAAAGATTTATTTATTTATTTTTATTATACAGGGGAAACAGAGGGAATTTTTTAAGAGAGGCACTCTCAACAGGATTTTGATGCTGCAGTCCTCCCCGAGTCTGGCAAATCAGCCAGGATCATGGGTGCACCAAGCATTGAATATATTTTTTATCATATTTCTCATTGTTTAGCATAAACACACTGGTTTTTATTCATTCTCTTTACCTTTTAGCTTCTTTTTTTTTCTCTTTTATATAATGTATATTGAATTGTCACCTTAGGACCAAATTTTAAACATATAGATGGAAAGATTAGTATATAGCCATTAAATGAAATTATTTTTTGAAGCTATTGGTAGATAATAAGGCCGATAAGAAAACTACATTCACATAGTAAAGAATGTGTTAACAAATATGATTATAACTTGTTATTATTTCTCTCATTAAATGACTACCATAATTTTTTTAAACTCTGACCTCCTTTTGTTGTATTTGTAATAATTGTGTTTATATGGTTGTCAACCTTAGCAAAAGGTTTCCTCTCTATATAGAGAATGTATTGATATTTTTACAATGAAAATGAAATTCAGATCTTATACAAGTACACAAAATTGCTCCAAAAATATAGCAGTGAACTTTCTGAAACTTGTACTAAAAACTGATTAAAGTCTAGTTCCAAGTAGAAATAGCTTTTTCTTTTTTTTTAAGAGAGATTTTTTTTGCTTAGGGCACTTGTGCTCCATGGAGGCGAAAAATCTTACCCACAGGGGGGATGGCCACATCTCAGTCCCTTCTCCAATTCTCCTCTTGGGATTTTTAGCACCCATGCCTATGTGCCTGGTGTGCATTTTAAGCTGCCGGGTCTGGGACTCAAACCACAGCTGACTACATGGGAGTCCAATGATGTAACCATTACTCCATCTGCTGATCCCAGTCATGACATGTATTTCTATGCAAAATTTAGTCACAACAAATCAATAGATGATTTGTTGACTTTGTTATTAAATAAACAATTTCTAGTTTAGCATGAATGGAATCCTTTGTTAAAGAACAGCTTCACATTTAGCAAAAGATTTCAGAGAATTTACTAAGAGTTGTCTTCTTTTTCCTTCAAAGTCTTGCCATATTGCAGTCAATCTTGGCTCAGCTCCCCAGGTAGCTGAGATCACTGGTGCATACCACCACATCTGGTCTTTCACACAGGGTCTCACTGCACTGCCTGAGTAGGCTGTGAGCTCCTGATCTTCCTGCGTCTCTCTCTTGAGTAGCTGGGACTATAGGTGCATACCACTGTGCCCAGATTTTTAGGGTGGGTTAGGAATTGAATCTGCCCTTGCCCTCTTGTCATCTAAGTCTGTTGAGTAGCAGTGTCAACCAGCAGTGCTATTGCAGCTGGGCAGAAATTTGAATGTAACCATTTACCTTATTTCTAGTCCTTTTACATTCCACTATTACTTCTATGAATTTTTTTTTCATGAAAAGCATGTAAAATAATTTTGATCACTACTGCATAAACTTGTGACTTGTGATACTGATATGGACTCTGCAAGGAATTTTGTTGCCTTTTCTTTCCATTTTTAAAATTTCTGTAAGTGCCTAACCAAATGCTGTTCTGCTTCTGTAAATTGTTTATAATCCTGAGAAAGTGCTATATCACTATCACCCTGATCAATTTCCTGTAAGGACTGAGCCCAGCAGCTGCATCCCACGGATAGTAAGATCGCCCAAACCAGTCCAACCAGACGCTCCCATGTGTGAGCGACTAGGCCCAGCAGGTACAGACCACACATAACAAGATCAGTGCAAGTCAGTTCAAATTGAACTGTTCCCTTCGCGAAGCCCCTCTCTCCCTCTCTGCTACAGGAGCCCTTATAAGCCTGCTGCCATGCTTGTTCAGGACCCAGAGCTTGGAGTGTGAACTCCTGCAGGTCGGCTGGCAGTGCATCCGAGTTCTCCTACTCTCTGAGTTGCACTTGGTTTCTTAGCAGTCTGTTTCTACATCAATATTTTTTACATTAGAACCCTTTCTCAGTCCATAGAAAGTTTTTATTCAAATTTGATTAGAATTACAATCCCAATCTAATTCATTTATGAATTGGTTCTATTTTTCTAACCTTGGGATTTCTGAATCTTTAGTGATAATTATAATTTAAAAATTATTTATTTTGGCTAAACTGTAACATATATTATAGTGGTATATTTATTACCGTTATTAAAAAACTATGAGCCATTTGATTAATTTTTCTTTGGGTAAACAAACAGCCAGAGCAACGTACCATTATTTTTTGTTGGGCTTCTTTCATGAACTGTTCTACTTCTAAAAACTTGAATTTTCTTTCATTTTAGGGAGTAATGCTTCCATAAATATAGATGTAGACCCCAGGCATCCTACTATGCTCCCTGAATGCTGTTTTCTTGGAGCTGACCATGGTAGGAGATTTCAGATTTAAATGTTTTTAAAACAGAATCATAAAATTCTTGTCTACCACTGTTAAAATATTATTCCAAAATATTAATAAGTTAATAGTAGTTATTTTAAATTATAAATAGTTCACCATTCTGAACTGTATACTCTTGTTTTTTCCTAACATACTATGTGTTTTAGGTTTTCTAATCAGGTAATTAAGAAACAGACAAAAACCAAATATGGCTTTACAAAATGAGAGAAGCAAACACTAACGTATTAAACTCTGTTTTCTTTTGTTTTAATATCCAAAGTGGTAAAACCCCTGGGAATAAAGCTGAGCAGGAACATACATTTGTGGTATGTATCTTGGCAATATAATTGATACTTTTCTATGATTTTACAAATTCAACAGCAGAAATTTTTTCATGCTTTCAGGGATCCAGAAAATAGTTTGTTACAAAATCTGAAAGATGTTTTAGAAATTGATTTTCCAGCTCGTGCTATCCTGAAAAAATCTGTAAGTTTTATTAATATGTTGACATTCCAAACCATATTGCATAATGAAATTTAAAGTTTCTCTAAAAAAAACCCTGAAAAGGAGAAAGCTGTAAAAATGTATAACACAGACTTAGGAACTGCAAGTGTTACATGAAAGAACTTGTCAACCCTTGACTGGATGTTACAAATGGTCCTCAGCAGTAAAGTGGTTGAGAGATAACATTTAAGATTAAAGGGGGCCAGCAGGTGGCATGGTGGGTCGGTGCTAGAGCCCACATGGCCAGATGCATGGTTTGAATCCAGACCCAAGGCTTGAAAAACATACTCTGGGCACAAGTTCATGCCTGCCTGCCCAAAATCCCCAAAGGAGACTGGAGAAGGGATTGCAGCGTGGCCATCCCCCGGGGGGAGGGGCGTGTGTGTGTGTGTGTGTGTGTGTGTGTGTGTGATTTTCTCACTTTCTCTCTCTCTCTGGCAAGCGTGTAGCCTTATAGGAACAAACTAAAATAAGGGGGAGGGGGCATGACGCAGAGGTCCTAAGGAGCTAATGAACTATTCAGATTTTCTATACTGTCTGCTTCTTGATGACCAAAATAAGGTCCTAATTAGCTTGGTATAAGTCTTTTTAAAGAGACTTTTTCAGAATCAAATAGATTACTATATTTGCAAAACTTAATGAACTTAGAATTGATTTTTCTTCTTGGAATTGATTTTTTTAAAAATAATTATTTAATTTTACTTATCATTATTTTTTAGTTTGCTACATAGCTTATGGGCTCACGAGAGAGAAAGCGAGTGAGCAAGCAAGTCTCAAGGCCTGGGACTCAAACTGTGGTCGACCATGTGGGGACTCCAGTATCCTGACCACCATGTTACTTGCTGGTCTGGCTTAGAATTGATTTTGACAAAGATGCTAAGATTGTATTATGCTAAGTCATGGCAATGTTTTTTCTTTTAGTTTCAGGATGACTAGCTAATGCCAGTTCCTATCTTTACATATTAACAGGGACATTCTGTTGATGTGATATGGGAAAGCCTAAACATCTTGCCAGTCAAAACTGGAATTTTAAAATACATTTGAGTGAAAAAGGGAACACTGACAAATGGCTTTACCTAGTGTTAGTGATGGGATTTTTTTATAACAGAGTTATCTTTATAAACTATATTCATAAATGTTCAATATTGTTTACAGTTCATTCTTCCTTTTATGTTTTAAACACATATTTTTGTTCTCTTGAAGGATTTTACTATGGATTGTGGAATTTGTTATGCCTATCAACTTGATGGTGCCATTCCTGATCAAGTGTGTGATAATGTCCAGTGTGGACAACCATTCCATCAAATATGCTTATATGAGGTAAAAACTAGAAATAGCAGGACTTTCTGTAGCTTAAACTGCATGGGAAGTGTGCATATTTGAAATACAGAGAGTCTAAAATCTATTAACAGTAATCTCTTACCATTTACTCCTTTACCAGTTTCAAATACTCATGTGCTACATTTCTTCATTATTATTATCGAGTGACGACATAAAGCACTCAAAGAGTGGGGAAATCTCTCCAGAATATATCATGGACTAGTTTATTGACACTCCAGAAATGAAACTGATGGTTCATTGGGGTCATTCATAAATATATCATGTTTGCAAACTCAAATTCATACAAATAATAAGGGTGGTGGTGGCAACAGGAAATGAAAGAGAACTAGCATTTATGTAGTTCCTATTACTGTTCAGGTTATATTTAGGTATGGAATAAATGGAATTATCCTGCTTTTCATATTCAGAAGAATACTGTGATCTACACTTGTCAGAGCACTTCAGGAAATATTTTATTTACTATTTTCAGTCTTCTCTGAGACTGTCTTTAGTTACTCTTTGTGGCATTCATCTAAAGGCACAGTTCATGTATGATTAACTGTCTATTGTCTATGCACAAAGTACTTTTCAGTTGTATATGTTTCTAATGTCACTTCTTGAAAGATTAGAGATAGAGCAGTTAGTGTATCTTTAGGGAGTCAATTTACTTCATATGAAATCATAAAATACTAGGTCTAATTACAGAAATACTGTGAGGGACCATGTGGTTTCTTTTGTAATAGTGAGCATTAATTTAATTTCTAAAAATTGCCTTATGCTTGTAATTGGTAGATTGAGAATTAACCCACTGTTGAATAAGACCTATATTTTCCAAAAGTATCTTTTACATCAGGAATTCCTAATTTGTGATTAATAGATTTAAGGAAGGTTTATGAACTCTGGGAACTTTTGTGTATGCCTTACTTTTGTGTCTGTCTATTTTGGGGGCAGAGAAAGTACATAATTGTCATCAAATCCTTAAAGGTGCCCACCATTTGGTTATAAACCAGTGGCTTACTAAACACCTCAAATTCCATGTTCATTTCCCCTTGTTATTCACAATATGATTAGTCTGGTATTGGCTCAGAAAACAAGAAATATTTGGAGTATCTGTACTTTAAAATCATGCTGACACCATCTTTTTTATCTTCAGTGGTTGAGAGGACTACTCACAAGTAGACAGAGTTTTAACATCTTATTTGGTGAATGTCCATATTGTAGTAAGGTAAGCACTTAATAGTAAGGTAACTATTAATCACATTTTATAAAACACTGTACTAAGCGCTAGGAACATTTTGAGAGATCTATATAGTACATAAACTCATTTAAAACTAAAATTTTTGAAACATGTTATTCTCTATATTTAAAAAAAGCAAGTTTCTATAAAATGTCCATATAACAACTTTTTTTTAATCAGCCAGATGGCAATAAATTGCTATCAGTTTAAGTAGTCACAGATATATTTATCAAAATATTGGGTCATCAGATACATCATGACTTGTTTGATGACCCAATATATTGAATGAATTTGGACAAAATACTAAAATCACTGACCTTTGTGAACACACAGAAAGTTTGCAAAAGATGGTAAAAGAATGATTATTTCTTTCATTTGGTAAATTACAAAAAAAAAGTGTAACTTTGTAGTAGCATTGAAGTATAAAATATATTTTTAGAACAGTTCCAGCTCAGGAAGCTACAACCAACATTGGAACTGAAAAATAGAGGCCCCTCCCCTCCCCAAGACTCACTTTTGTTCATCTTCCACCGATCTATTAGTCCTAATGATGTAATTGTCTTTCAGTTCAATATTTAGTTCATTCTTGAGCTTTTGTTCATAGGTTGCTTCAATAGCATTTTAATTTTTTGATGAATAATACTTTTCTAGATTTCTTGGGTAATTAGAAACGTCAGAAAACTATTTTCTAAATTGTACCATGGTAAAACATTTAATATTAAGGAATTTTATTTTTAGTGCTCAAATTTTGTTAAAATAGCTTTTTCTTTTTTTTTTTTTTAAGCCAATTACCTTGAAAATGTCTGGAAAGAAACCCTAAAAGAAGAATGCAACATGTCTGTGAAGAGCTAGAAACTTTATCAAAAGGAAATGCCTTCAGAGAAAATATAAAGCAAGATATACCAATATCAAAAGGAAAAGTATGGTGAAGCTGTAATAGTACAAATCTGTGTTTGTCTCTTCACTAAATGTAAACTGGGATGGCCACAGTCCTGTAGACCTTTCTAAGTCTGTGACCTCCTTTTTAATAGTGGAAGTAGATATATACCAAGGTGAAGATTGTGACTTGTTGAATAAATCTGGACTGGTAAAACCACCATGGGGTTCAGAAAATGAATTTGGCAAACTGTTTTCTTCAGTCAGATGTTCCTGAGACTTGTGATATTTGTGTCTTCTTCTTCCACAACTTTCCTACGGAAAAAATACATAGTTCATTGAATTGGGTTATTCAAGTATTTATTTTGTGTACTCCTAAGGTGGCGACCAAAAAATTACTTCTCAGGAAAAATACTTATTGGCATCTGGTTGGGGTGGTTTTTTTAAACCACAAATGTAGCCCATCTTGTCAGTAATATATAGTCTAAAAATAGTCGGTTGTTAGAAAAGTCATGATGTATTTTTTGTTTTTCTGTGCCAAAATGCATCATGATTTTTTCTTGACAGCCCAATAGGAGAGAATATGAACTTTGAAAACAAAAAAATGGGGCTTATTGTGCCAGGACAGTCCTAATTAGAAAAACTTTTGGCCATTAATGATTCTCAGTTTTTTTTTATACAAGTTAAACTTGATTGCACATTAGAATCAACTGAGAAGCAATGAAAAATTCCACCACTTAGACTTCTGGTCATGTGTATAAAAGCACAAAATACAAATACAAAGCAATATTTTTTTTGGAAAGTCATGATGTGTTCTGATGTTTGAACAACCTAATAATTATACAAACTATAAAGAGACTTCAAAAAGCCCATGAAAAATGCATATTATAAAATCCCATCAATTTCAAAATGTTTTCACCAAAGTAAACCTATAGTTAATTCCATAAACTTTTTGAAGTCCCCTTTGTAAGAACTATTAGGCATCTAAAGCATATAAGGCTATGATAACTTGAAGAAAGGGTGATAACCCAGACCAAAAGAAATGCCACAACTTAAAGATAGTTTCACCAGAATAAAAAAGCCTAAACAGGAGTCACAACATGATCAAGTTGAACTGATAATAAATTAACTGCCAGAATAAAACTCAGTTGTTTTTTTTTTTTAAAGAAAGGAATACAGTAAAATAAGGACTCTAAACTCTATCACATCCATAATGTTCAGCGCACAATAAAACTTTTTTACACACTGAAACATAGGAACATGTGACTCATCACCAAGATAAAGAACAGAAGCAGATTCAGATAATCCAGATGGTAGAATTATCAAACAAGGACTATAAAGCATAGCATAAATATATTCAAGGACTTCTGGAGCTGGAAAAAAAAAAAAAACCCAAAAAAACAAATACAGTGAAAAACCTGGCAACTTTTAACTGCTGATTTCACTGACATTCTTATAGGTTGTCCAGAATGTCATGACGCATTCTTACATAGAAAAGCAGAAAAATACATCATGACTTTCCTGACAACAAATATTTCAATATAGATGTATTTGGACCTTAGAGAAGAGGGATTAAGGTATTAAATTGATTAAGTCGTAGCTGAAAACTTTTCCAATTAAATGACAAATCGTAGATAAAAGAAGCACAATGAATCCAAAGCATAATAAACAGCCAGCCATCCCTGGAAAACCAAAGATAAAGAGCAAATCTTAAAAACAACCATAAGAGATACAGTAAATTTCTCCCCTATCCATGGTTTGGCTTTCCCAGTCTGAATTAAGTTTTTGGAGCTAGCAGATGGCATAGTGGTTATGTCGCTGGACTTCCGCATGGTCAACCGTAGTTCGAGTCCTGGACTGGTGGCTTGAAACTCAAGCTGAGTGCATGTGTGTGCATGCCCAAGAGGAGAATGGAGAAAGGATTTGAGAAGAGAAGGGAATGTCATGTGGCTACCACTCTGGAGGATGATTTCTCACCTCCTCTGTCTCTTTCTTTCTAGCGAGTGCACGTACCCTACAACAAAAATCTATCAAAAACATTTTTAAAAATAGATGAAAAAAAAAGTCTCAATTTGATCATCTAAGTTTCCATCTCAAGAAACTAGAAAAAGAAACAAGTATGCAAGGTGGTAGATTGTTCGTTTGTGATGTAATCCATAATGTAAACATATCAAACATCTTGTACCCCATAAATATATAATATACGCAGCTACAGAAAGGAAAGAAAATCAGAGCATAAGTCAATGTAATTGACAACAACAACAAAAAAAATACAGAAGAATCAACCAACCAGAAGCTGGTTCTTGAAACACCCAATAAAATTGGTAAATTTCTAGGCAAGACTGACAGGGATAAAATAAATACCAACTATCACTACAGACCTCACAGACATTTAAGGGAATACGATGAACAATTCTACCAACAAATATCTGACAGTTTAGGTGAATTAGACCAATTGCTAGAAAATTACAAATTACCGAAACAGACTTTAAGAGGAAATAGATCAGGGGTTGATAAATTGGCCCATGGATTAAATCCACCCTACCCCTTGTTTATGTAGAGCCCGTCAACTAAGAATGGTTTTTACATTTTTAAATGGTTGGAAAAATAATTTGTGAGAAATGAAATTATAGACAATTCAAATTTCAGTGTTAATAAAACTTTGCTGGAAGTTAGCTGTACTCATGGATTCATGTTGTGTATAGATACTTTACAATATAAGAGTTATATATGACCTGGAAAATCTAAACTTTTAATATCTGTCTCTCTATAGAAAAGTTTGCTCATTCTTGAAACAAATAATCTGAATAGTTTTGGTAAGAAACTGAATTCGTATTTAAAGAAATCTCCATGTTCAAATAGTTTCACTGCAGAATTCTACAAAACACTTAAATAGAAATATCCCCAGTTCTATATTCTCTTCCAGAAATTAAGAGGAGGAAGGCTTCTCAACTCATTTTATGGAGCAGGCATTCCAGATACCAAAACCAGCGTAGACAGTAGAATAAAAAGAAAACTATAGACAGTAGCTCTTTTGAACACATAAACAAAAATCCTCACTATAATACTAGCAAATTGAATCTAGCAATATATAGAATAATGCATCATGACCAAGCGGGGTTGATTTGAGGAATGTAAGACAAGTTCAACACGAATCAGTGTCACCCACCATGGTAACAGTCTGAAGAAGAAAAAAAAAAACCATTATTTTATTAATTGATAGGAGAAGCAGCATTTAACAATATTCAACACTCATTTATAATAAAAACTTTCTGTACACTAGAAATGGAGGGAACTTTCCTCAACCTGGTAAGGAACATCGACCAAGACCTCCATTGCTGACATGCAAACTGATGAAAAGCCCCAAATGCGAAACAAGCCTAATGTTCTTAAACAGTACATCCATACTTCAGAATACTATTTAGCAATAAAAAGAAAGAACTAACATTCCAAACTTGATGGATCTCATGGAGCATTATGGTGAATGACATAACTCAATGTCAACAGGTTACATTCTGTATAATTCAACTTACATGACAGGATCAGGATGACAAAATTACTGTGATAGAGAACAAATGTTTTACAGGGTTTAGGAGTAGGAAGGTGGTGTCACCATAAAGCAGTATGAGGGATTTCTTTGTGGTGATGGAACAGTTCTGCAGAATAATTGTAGTAATTACTCAGTACATGTAGTAAAATTTCTTAACATGTAAGCATGAGTATTTATAAAAACAATATATGAAAATTAGGTCTATTTTATAGTATACCAATGTCAATTTCCTGGTTTTCAAAATTCTAAGTATGTAAAATGTTTTTATTGGGGGAAGGTAGGTAAAGGTACATGGGAGCTGTTTAGTCTGTATTATGTTTGCAATTTTCAAATCTAGAAGTTAAAAAAAAAGATGCAGAAATAGAGATTGAGCTCTTTCCCCACCGAAAAAATGTAAAGGTAAAATGAAAATATTTGCAGATAGACAAGAAGTGAGAGAATTAGCTTCAAGGAAATTATAATAAATGTTACAGGAATTTCTTTAGGGCTAAATTGGAAAAAAAAATACCAAATGTAAATTCAGATTTATCAAAGGTGTGAAGAATTCCAATAACTGTGATATGCTAGTTTTTTTTTCCATTCTTAATTTCTTTGTAAGAAACTGACTGTAAAGCAACAATCATAATATCAGTTATAAAATTTACTACACATGGGGAACCAGCAGTTAGCGTAATGGCTATGTCACTGGACTCCCACGTAGTCGACCGCGGTTCGTGTCCCGGACCCGGTGGCTTAAAACTCACGCCGGGCGCATGTGCGTGCGTGCCCAAGATCCCGAGAGGAGAATGGAGGAGAAGGGATTGCGGCGTGACCATCCCCCCGGGGGGTGATTTCTTGCTTTCTGTCTCTATGTCTCTCTCTGTCTCTCTGGCGAGTGCACGCGCCCTACAGTGAAAATCTCTCAAAAAAACAAAAAAAAATTTACTACGCATGTAACAATAGTCCAAAGGGTTGGGTGGTAAATGGAAGCATATTTTAGAAAGGTTCTGATGTTACATGTAAAGTGCTATTTAAGTCAAGGTTGGCTGTGATACGATTAAGTTACAGGTATTCACTAATTTCTAGAGCTGTGCTTTATAATGTCACTTGAGTATTTTTCTGAGTTGAGATATGTTAGTATAAAATAGATACCAGATCTTGAAGACTTTATTTGAAAAAACAATGTTAAATATCTCAATAACTTTTCTAATGATTACATCTTAGATATTGGCTTAATTAGTATATATTGTTAAAATAAAATTTTACATTTTCCTTTTTCCTCTTTAAGATGTGGACACTAGAATATTTAACATTACATATTAGGCTAATATTTTATTTTTATTAGATACGATTGCTCTAGGGCAGGGATTCACAGACTTTCTCTGTGAAAGAACTTATGGCAAATTTTTTAGGCTTTTTGAGTGATATAGTCTCAGTTGCAATTACTCAGCTCTGCCACCATAATGCAAAAGTAGTCACAGACAATATGTTAAGAAAAACAGTATGGCTATTTTCCAGTAAAACTATTTACAAAAAGAGGTGGTTGGCTAAATAGACCCATAGGTCATAGTTTGCTGACCCCTGTTCTACAGTAACCACTAAATAAACACAAAACCAAAGAAATATAATTTTGAAAGCCAAAAAAAGACAGAAAAAAGTCTCAGTTGGTTCAAAATAAAGCAGTGGAAGTAAAAAGTAACAAAGAAGAAATGGTGTAAAAACAGTAAGATTGCATACTGAACCCAACTGTATCAGCAGTTATATTAAACAGAAATGAAGCAAGTCACTGTAGTATTTGTAAGATTTTCTAAAGAAGCAAGACTGTTGTGTGCTGTTTACAAAAGCATGCAAAAACACGGATCAAGTTAACATAAAAGAATGGAAAAGGATACACCATGTAAACACTAATTTATTGGACGACTAGAATAACATTAAATCAAGCAGATTTTGGAAAGATGTCTCACAATGATAAACATGTAAGTTCACCAAAAAGACAAAATAGTCTCAAATCTGTATTCACCTAATAAGAGAGCATCAAAATCCATGAAGCAGAACTATAAAACTCATGACTCTGAAAACAAAAATATCCACAGTTACTATGAGAAAAGAAAATTATTAAATGATATCTCTCATCAATGTAGTTTTTTTTTTTTTTTTTTTAAAGAGGTTTCTGCTGTAGGGCACATGTGCTAGCCAGAAAGACAGAGACAGAGAGATAGAAAGTGAGAAATCACCCCCCAGGGGGGATGGCACGCCAAAATCCTTTCTTCTCCATTCTCTTCTCGGGATCTTGGGCATACACGCGCCTGGCATGAGTTTAAGCCACCAGGTCTGGGAATCGAACCGTGGGTTGGCTACATGGGAGTTCAGCGACATAGCCATTATGCTAACTGCTGCTCCCATCAACAGTGTAGTTTTAAAAAATCCTCAATGAAATTGAGGGACTGGCGGATGGTACAATGGTTACATAGCTGGATTCCCACATAGTTGACCGTGGCTTGAGTCCCAGACTGGTGGCTTAAAACTCATGCTGTGCATATGTTCATACATGCCCCAAATCCTGAGAATGGAACAGAAGAGATTGTGGCATGGCTATGACCCCGGTGTGTGTGTGTGTGAGAGAGATTTCTCCTTTTCTGTCTCTCTGGTGAGCACATGCACCCTATAGCAAAAATCTCTCTTTTAAAGAAAAAAAAAATTGAAATTGAAATTCA